CCCCCCCCCCCCCCCCCCCGCATCCAAACCCTATGAAGCTGTGGGGTCCTGAACAACCCCCCACCTTTGTTTAAAAACAGCCACCCAGACAGGGTCCCTCCCTTCAGTGGACTCAGAGCTCCTGAGGTTTCCAGAACATTCCAGGGTGAGTATCTGGACTCATGTGGGGTGGGATGATTTCACCCCCAAACACGGTCCCTTTTAGGAATCCACATCCGGCCGGGGCTGAGGTGTCTCTCGGGTCAGGGTGCTTGTGCCCTCTACCCACCCACGGGGCCCCCTCCCTGCTCTGTGCCACAGGGAAGTCACTAGCTGGAGGCTCAGCTTCCTCACTGACCAAGTGTGAGGATTCTGAGGGGAGGTTACCCTCCACGTGTGGCCTAGTGGGCGTCATAAATAGGAGCCTCCCAGGGGCCCCCACAGCGCTCTACCTGCCTCGTCTCTGAACCCGGGTGGAAATACGCAGTTTGGCCCAGGCCTGGCTGTCATCTGCCAAAGAGGCCTCCTATTTGGGCACTTCTAAAGGTGGTCCTCCCAATTCCCAAGGGGAGGCCCCAGGGCTAACTTCTCCTCTGAGGGCACCTGGGCTGGGCCGGGGGCTATGCCATCCCAGATAAGCCGGACACACAGAGGCCATGTGACTAGACTCTGGGCAGGAACACCTGAGCGGGGTGATGTGTGCATGTTCTTCGTTAGGCCCTTGTTGGGGCTGCTGGAGGCCATGTGGTGATGGGCGTGGGGCAGCCATCTTGGACAGTGAGGGGAGCCCTGTGTTAAGGCGGCAACGGGAAAAGAGAAGCCGACGCCCTGGTCAGCCTGCATCACAGGACCACCAAATTCACCAGGGACACATGAGAAACAGACTTCTGTTTGGGGAAGTGCCTTCGTTTGGGGCCTGTCACAGACACACAACACTGCCCTGGCCAAGAGAGAGAGCCTATGGGGCTCACAGAGGGCAGCCCAGGGAAAGGACAGAAACACAGCCCTCCTGCTGGTGACCCCTTGGCCCATCACAGTGGCAACAGGACCCGCAGGAGTGGCTTCACTCCCAGGCCGCTGAGCCACAGTTAGGTTGTTCCATTAGGATAATAAGCAAAGAAATGGGCCACTCAGGATGGGAAAATGGGCTAGAGCCGTGGTTGGCAAACTGCAGCTCACGAGCCACATGCGGCTCTTTGGCCCCTTCAGTGTGGCTCTTCTACAAAATACCACGTGCGGGCACACACGTACAGTGCGATTGAAACTTCGTGGCCCATGCGCAGAAATCGGTATTTTGTGGAAGAGCCAGTATTTTGTGGAT